TGACTCATAACAGAATGTTGCATTGCATAAATTGGGAGTAACACTGGGCAAGTCAGTCCTGTCCCTGGTTAGTAATCTGGCCGTGGGATGGGGAAAGTCCTTCCTTTCTTCCCATGTTTTGGAAGATACTTACAATGGATGCCAGCCTGTTGGCTGGAGAGGAGTCCTGGACACTTTTTCAGTGCTGGGGACTATGAAACCAGAAGAATCTCTTCTCCTGATCAACATCCTGAAGTTTTAAATGGCATGGTTGTCTCTGCAGCGTTGGACCGTCATGCTGGAGGGTCATGCAATTCAGATCCAGTCAGACAACTCCACAGCAGTAAAGTGTATCAGCTTTCAAAGGTTAACAAGAACAAAAGAGAGACATTCCTCTCTCTACTCTCGCATTTAAGGTAGCCATCTTCTCTGCAAGGTGAGTGCCTGGCAGCCTTATCCTGCAAGGAAACCTTTCTGGTTATGCATAGGGCTGGTGTTGATGCCTAGGGCTTCTTTCTTGCATAAGGTACTTTTCTGCATCTTACCTTTCTCTATCCAGTTGCAGTTCACCAAAAGGAAATTTCACACCATTGTCTAAATGTGGTCCAGGCCATTAGTCTGTCTCTCAGCCACTGCTTCTTTCAGAAAGGTTAATTTATTTTGTCATCATACATGGTCCCTATAACAGTGCACCAGCTTCACATTTTACCATCTCTGGGTGGCTCAAACAGACGATAATCTAAGCCAGGGCTCAAAAATGACATGTCAGGCACACGGTCGCAGACCGCGTACCTGACTTGGGGGAGAAGCTCCATGGTCTGCATCTGTGTCGGATGCAGACCGCAGAGCAGCTCCTGTCAGCTCTGGCTTCCTCCGGCCGGAGCTCTGACAGTTCTGAGCTCCGGCCGAAAGAAGATATGTGAGCAGGATCGATGCCTGGTTATCTGGGGGTGATGGTGAGGGCTGCTGCAGACCTCAGTAATCACTCGCAGATAAACCAGGGATCGATCCTGCTCACAGCCTCGTCCTCCCTGCAAAGACGTGAGG